CGCTGTTATGTCCATGGTCGGCACTATTCTGGGCTTGGGCGACCGTCACGGAGAGAACGTCAACCTCGAGGAGGGCAACGGTGGAGTGTTCCATGTCGACTTCAACTGCCTGTTCGACAAAGGCCTCACCTTTGCTAAGCCCGAGCGCGTGCCCTTTCGACTCACGCACAACATGGTCGCAGCCATGGGAATCTATGGCTACGAAGGGCCCTTTAGGAAGTCATCGGAACTGACCCTGAGCATCCTCCGCCAACAGGAAGAGACACTAATGTCGATCCTGGAGGCATTCATCTACGATCCGACCCTGGATCTACAGAAAGACAAGCGCGCCCACCGAAAGGGCGACACGAGCATAAAACTGCAGCCACAGAGTGTAGTGGACAGTATCAAACGGAAGGTCAGAGGCCTGTTGCCGAACGAGAGCATTCCTCTCAGTGTGGAGGGGCAGGTGGAGGAGCTGATCAAGCAGGCGGTCGATCCCAGGAATTTGACTGCCATGTACATTGGGTGGTGTCCGTTTCTGTAAAGCATATATGGCGTTGTCGTGGGTTGGCAATGAGTCGACAGGTTCAATGGACTCGGCCACATTTTTCCTCTCTGTACAGAATAATAACTGCCCAGGAATGCAAGCGCAGAAGGCACGTTTCGTCGCTGATTCCACAGTTAGATGAGGCAATAAAATCAAAACAATTAGGTCCCATTGTCGAAGTACCATGTGGAAATGAACCGCGTGATGAAGTTTGGCAGGTCAAAGAAAATGAGGCCTCAGGCGGACAGCTACGACAGCCGCGACGCGTGCACTGACCCGGTCTGCGCGCCTGCCCTGTCAGTGCAATTACGACTTCGGTGGCTGCCCTCGTGTGCACACGCCTTTTCCACCTTTCACCCTGACTCTCATGTTTCGTATCTAACTTTTCCTTCAATCTTCCGTGCATTCATTTACTTAACATTGTCGACGACCTGTTTTGCGCCCTGTGGCTTCACTGTAACGCTCATCGCGTCGACGTCATTTGAACGCGACCATGGCGTTTCGCATTGGTGAGCGAGCACACGTCCACTCGCGAAATGTTGACTGACAGCGCCAGAACTCGCGTCTACTGGGCGTGCCGGCTGTAAAGATACTGTTTGCAAGAAGGAAGGCATCAAAATAGCAAAGGGTGAGCTGCGCTGGGGCACCTGGGTGGAGGTGGAATCCGCGAACATCAAGGGCTGGCACTGGCGCCACTGGGGTTGCGTTTCTGGTCTTATGGTGGCCAACGCACGCGACTCCATCAGTGATGGCAATGGAAACTACGATTGGGACGGCATCGATGGTTATGATGAGCTCAACGACCACCCCGAGGTTCAAAAGAAGATCAGGCGTACCTTTGAGCAAGGCCATGTCGATGCTGCCGACTTCCGGGGAGATCCCGAGAAATTGAAGCTTGGGGAGAAGGGCATTCACTTGACCAAGGCCCAGCTCGCTAAGAAAGAGAAGGAGGCTGTAGGTGACACAACTACTCCCAGCGACCTGCCATACTGACTTTCCCAGGCCGAGGACGCCGGAGAGCCCAAGAAGTCCAAGCGAGGCCGCAAGAAGGAGGAAACCGATGATGATGAAGAGCAGGCGCCTAAACCCAAGAAGGCGCGCAAGTCCAAGGTCAAGGCTGAAGAGGCAGAGGAGGAGAAGCCTGCGCCTGCCAAGAGGGCTCGCAAGGCGATCAAGGCTGAGGAGGCACAGGAAGATGATGACGAAGAAGAGAAACCCGCGCCTGCTAAGAGTGGTCGCAAGGCGATCAAGGCCGAGGAAGGCGACGAGGAAGAGAAGCCTGCCCCGGCCAAGCGCAGTCGCGAGTCGATCAAGACCGAGGAACATGATGAGCAAGAGGAAGAGGAAGAGAAGCCCATTCCAGCTAAGCGTAGTCGCAAGGCCGCCGCACAGGTAAAGAGCGAGGAGGGGGAGGGGGAGGAGGAGAAGAAGCCTGTTGCTGCTAAGAAGGGGCGTCGCACGTCCGTCAAAGCTGCTGAACAGGATGAGCCCGCAGCGCCCAAAAGCCGTCGCTCTTCTGGCAGGGACAAGGCTGAAGCCCAAGAAGCAGAGGAAGAGAAGGTGGTTCCCCTTCCAAAGCGTCGGCGTACGTCAGTAAAGGCTGAAGAACATGCGGAGGGGGGAGAAGATGGGGAAGAAGAAGAGAAGCCAGTGGCAGCCAAAAGAGGTCGCAAGTCTATCAAGGAAGAAGAGCTCAAGGAAGAGCAGGGAGAGGAAAAGCCCGCACCGAAGACTAAGGGACGTCGCTCGTCTGTCAAGGCAGAAGGGGCCGAAGACGTGAAGCCCACGCCTGCCAAGCGTGATCACAAGTCTCTGAAATCGGAAGCCGACGTGGACGAGAAGCCTGCCCCCAAGAAAGGGCGCAAGGCTGTCACCGAGCAAGCCAATGGCGAGCCTGTCCGTCGCAGTCGTCGTTCCTCTGGTGTTTCTACCACACTCAAGGAATCCGAAGATGAGGGTGTCAAGGGCGAGGAGGAGGAAAAGCCGGCGCCCAAGCCCAAGGGACGTCGTGGGAAGGCCGGAAAGGCTTGAGATATGCGAACAGGGAGAATTTGCGATTTCGTTACAATCTGGGATGGCGCAGGCGAGCGCGTATCTACATTGCTGGAGAAGAGGAGTTGTACGTAGCTTTCTGCTGTGTAGTATACTGTCATTGCTCGGTTCTATGGACACGCGACCTATGGGCACGCGACCCAACGTCAAGCGCTCAAGACTTGATTCAGGTACCGTTCAAGAACCCCACGGCGATCAGGAACATGATTAGCGCGGGGCAGAACCTCCGTCATTGTCGTTATGTCAATTAGCATCGTGATATTTCATGCCCCACGTTTCAAACTTCAAGACATGACGACACATCAAGCTTATGACGTAACCTCAGCATCAACATTTATATACCGTCGTTCCAGCATTTCTTCTTTGCTCTCCAGCACAATACGCAAACTACGACTACACTTCCCAATCACCTTTACACAACCAAAATACATCACAATGCCTCGCAACGGAGACGGTTCTTCTGACAACGGCCCCATTGACGCCACTCAGAACGTCGCCCACGGCGTCCCCGAAGGCGTGCGTACCCCTCCTCCTCCCCGTCTCGTGTGTACTCGACTAACTGGACGTCACAGAACAAGGACATTGGTGATAAGGTTGCCCGCGCCGACAAGACTGCCCCTCTCCCCGAAGGCGAGAAGGGCCAGGGTCTCTCTGACATGCCCGCTTCAGGTGGCTCAAGCCAGGGCATCAAGGAGGGCGACAACGTGGGACAGGGCAAGGCTCGCTAAATTTGTATGAATATTACAACAGCATAAAGATGTACAGGCGTTGAAGACCGGTAATCGATTCATTGGAGCATCATTGACTGAGTTGGTTGCAGTGACATGTGACTGTGACTTTGACCACCTACTAGCCCTTGCTGGGACAGAGCTTATTCACCTTCCTGTCTCTGGACCGATTAATTACTATGCATTGAGCGCCTCAAATCTACCACGGCAGCTGGCGATGCTGGACTTCTTACGGGCTATCCACCTAAGTAAGTAAGGCATTGCTGCCAACGACCAATTTAGCAATTTGATGTCCTTACTTGATACAGCTAAGCCAGGAGCCAGGGATAGCAAATAGGCCGCATAGAAGTATACAATCAACTAAGACAGTATAAACCTATTCTACAGACTAGTCTCGGACGGAGTTACTACACAAGTACTGGCTAGGCAGTGTTTGATTCCCAGTGCACGCTGTCGCATGGCTCACAGAGTTCACAAACCCAAGCCTACCTACCTGTTCAATATAATTTAGTACAACAATTTCTCTCCCACTTAAAAAAAAAAATCAATCAGCTCTAGACAATCTTCAATGAATCCCATCTATCACTTATTTCCTGCCTCAGCTCGGTTTGTCTTATTTGGTTGGACTGCAAAAATGGGAAAGTTGGGGTCTGGCCGGGGATTGAACCCGGGACCTCGCGCAAGCTTTGAAACTCAGGGTTTGATAGTTCGGAAGAACTCCCTAAGCGCGAATCATACCACTAGACCACCAGACCGTGTTGTGAAGCCGATTGCAGGCTGTGATTGATGGAAGGGGAGCAAGATTTTGCGGTATATGTTGGCCGTATTCTGTGTGGATGAGTGAACTGGAGGGGCGGCTCGAAAGCTTGAGCGTTTTGGTTGGACGGCGGGAAGTGCTGCGTGGTCAGAGCGGGTCGCGGTGTGTCAGGGGCCAGGGGCTGCCCGCTCGCCCGGCAGGATAGTGGGGTTACTGTTAGTCACGCAACGAGACCGCAATGAATTCCATTGGGAATAGCAAACGCGAGAATCAACTAACTACCTGTGTCATGTTGGGCCGTTGCGGAAAGCGACTTGTAACTGGCACTCGCTACTGTTTGACTAAGGACTCAGAATCTCGTGGCGCAGATGCCCTGTGTTTAAGCTAGAGCGTCCGGCGCAATTCGTTCACACCTCATCGTGAGCTTACCCTAAAGCGATATGTACACGCTCGATTGTTCGCCTACGACGTTGAATTATAGCGAGTGAAATGGGTGCATCGAACCCAGTACACTATTTTGGGGTCCTTGGGAGGACAGCGTGATTTGTATCGTGGTCCGCATGTAGTAGCTTATCTTTCAGTGTGCATTTGTTGATGAATCTCCAAGCTTACTGAGACTTCAAGTTGACTGCGACAAGGAGCGCCAAGCTACATGAGTTATTGGACCCCAATGTGGACTCCACTTCATACAATACGCCTCAAAATCGCGTTGTGATACATAAGGACACACCCAGACCTGTATAGGGAGCCGACGCCTACTTCATCGTCTACTTCGTCCTACTCTCAGGTGCTCCGCCCTGAAGGTACAGTCGCGTCACATACATGTACTGCTCGTTTGAGAAACCAAGAAGATGCCATTCATTACGTCATTCCTGCCTTTCTGACGCCGTGTATCGCTCAGCCACAACAGATAACGCCTTGTCCCGCTTTACGTCTACAAGAACCCCTTCGTCATGCTTGGCGCCCTACTAATGCTACTCTTCCGCGCTGGAACATCCATGGGGTCACCTCCTAAGCTCGTCCGCAAGGGTCCCAGCCGATTGCGCATGCTGCCCGTTACGCCGCTGGCGCTCTTGTCGACTCTCAGACCCTTCCATCCCTCGAGTTCACGCTCGAGACGCAGTGACTTCTCCCTCTCCTCCCGCAGCTCGCGCTCTGCTCGGCGTGCGGTCAGCTGGTTGGACGACTCTGACGATTGGAGGTCGTCGATCGTCTGGAGCAGTTTGTCTGCCTTGTCGCGCATCCGTGCTACGTCTTCCAATAGCTGCGTGTTTTGCTTGTCCTTGCGGTCAATCTGCCCTTGGAGGTCCTTGACAATGCGATCTACATTGCGAGTCGAGCGCTGCGATTTTGTGCGCTCGTGCTCCTGGGATTCCAGCTGTGTCTCAAGCTGAGAGGCATGGTTAGCAATCGTAGATGAAATGTAAGTAAGAAAAAACTTACCTCCTGGATTCGCTTGTACAGGAACTTGATGTCCTGGCTGGCGCTGGAATAGCCCTTGGTCTCCAAGTCGACCAGTTTCAGCTGTGCCTCGTTGAGGTTCTTCTCTAGCATGGCCTTCTGCTTGGCCAGGGCAGCCGTACCCTCACGTTCAGCTGTAATGTCCTTCTGCATCTCAGCAGCCAGAGACTCCGCCCGGCGCATCTTCTCCACAGCAGCGGTCGCAATGTCCTCCTGCTGCGCGAGACTCGACTTGAGATCGAGGATCTCCTTGTCGGTAGAAGCAGCGTCTCGCAGTGAGGGGCTCTCCCCCTTGGTCAGCTCGTCTAGCCCAGCCTTCGCCTCGGCAAGGCGAGCCTCCACGCTGCGCTTCTCACGAGCCAGAGAATCACGCTCAGCGCTGACCTCGTCGACGGACGACCGGAGAGTCCGGACCTGGGACAGAAGTGAGACAACTTTGCCTTGGGCTTCGTTGTGTGCGTTCACCGCCTCCTCACGCGACGAGACGACATCGGCAAGGGTGGATTCGAGGCGTGACTTTTCCTTGGACCAGGTCGAACTGTTGAGCACCTCGTCGTCCCACTTGGACCGTAGCTCATCGAGCTCCTCACGCAGGCGAGCGATTTCAGACTGCTTGTACAGCTTCTCTTCGCGCGCCAAGTCCAACTCTTTGGTGAGAGTGGCAAACTCCGCTTGGTACTTCCTACGGGTTTGCTCCATGCTAGACTCCTTGTCCTCGATATCCATGGCACGCTGGTTGCGGTAATCCTCCAGCTCGTGTTGCAGCCTCTTCTTGGCCTGTGTGACGCCTTCCAGATCGGTCGACATGTCTTCGAGGCGCTCCTCGAGGCGTTGGTTGTGGCGCTGCAAGTCCTCCATCATATTGTCCATCTTCTGTCGCTCAGCCATGACTTCGGCATACGTGTCTTCGGCTTCGCGCGCTTGTGACTTGGCAAACTGCTCGGCGCGACTAGCTTTGAGGACGGCTATTTCGGCCTGCTCTAGTTTACCAAAGTACTCATCAGCTCGTCGCTTGTACAAGTCGAGATTCGCTGTAACGTCGGCCAGCTTGGAGGACTCGGCGTCCAGGCGGATCTGCAGATCCGAGTACTCGCTGAGGAGCTGGTTTCTGCTTTGTGCTTCTTGTTCCCTTGCCGTGGTCATCTCTTGCAGATCGGCAGTCACATCCCGAAGCTCAACCTGGGCTTTAGCCTTGTCATGGCGTAGCCTCTCAAAGCCAGTCTTGATGTCCGTCAACTCGGCGACAACATCCTTATGGCTGTGCATGAGCGCACGACGGGATTCTTCCTGGCTGTTGAAGACATCAAGGAGCTCTTCGTGAGAGCGGGTCTGCAAGTCGCGCACAGAGATTTCGCCACTGCGAATGCTCTTTTCGAGAGCTGACACCTTCTTAGCCGAGTCGTCTAGCATATCATGCAAATGGCTGTTGACTTTCTCAAGCTTCTGCATGCGACGTAGCGAAGGGCTCTGGTCGTTGTCAGGCAGTGGAGTGCCGCGCTCGAGCTGACTCTGCAAGTGACGGTTCTGCATGTTTGCTAGTTGCAGCTGATTCTGTAGCTCCTCAACCTCTGCTTTGAGATCCTGTTTGTTGTTGAAGCTCAGAACGTCCGCTGTTCGATCAGACCTAGCAGAGCCCTCTGGGTATTCAGGGAGTTTACGCGCAGGCGTGGATGCGTTCGAGTACTTGCGCTCGTGAGCCAGCTTGGACCGCCTCTGGGTCGGCGAGCCGTTGCTAAAGGGGGCCTCATTGTAGTGTATCTCCTCCAACTTGGGTCGGCTCGGTGACTCTTTTCGGTTTGCCCGCAATTCGGCCAGCTGTTGCTCGGCATGTGTGCGTGCAGCTGTCTGCACCCTCAAGGTCTGGTGCAATTCCTCCACTTTGCGAACGAGACCGAAATTCTTAACCAAACCCTTGTCGTTGTCCTGCTGGGGAGGAATGTGCACCTCGGGATCAACGGTCTTCAAGACGTTGAGCATCTGGGCGCGTAGTTCCTCCAGCTCCCGATCCCGAGCTTCGAGAGAGGATTGTAGGGTGCGTGCAGTAGACTGCGCCTGTGTCCTCAGTTGTCGCTCTGATTCAATGGTCCTGTTCGCCTCGGTCAACTGCGCATTGGAACTGGAAGATGCCTTTTCCGCGTTCCTACTCGACTGGGCTTCGCGGGCCAGTTCGTGGTTCAGGTCTTCAACACTGAGCTGAAGTTTCTCCGCCTTCTTCTCAAGAGAGGCGACGTTAACCTGCGAATCGCCAAGCTGCTTATTCAGTTTGGCGTTTTGTTCTTCAAGCCTTGCCTTCTCGCGTTGCAGCGAGATGACCTGGCCACGGGAGGCTTCGCTCGCGCGGGAACTCGACCGCGCAATTTCTAGTCCCTTTTGCTGCAATTTGTTCAGCAGAGCGCGATTGTCATTTTCTGACGCAGCCAATCGGCTCTTGACAGTGTTGAGCTCTCGCTCCATTCTTTCCTTGGCCTGATCATTCTTGAGCCCGAATTCGCCAGATGACAATATGAGCTTGTTGAGGTCCTCCACTTGGTGGTTGAGCTTCGCGCACTCCTCCTCAAACCACTGCAGACGTTGATTGGCAGCATCAAGGTCTCGGCGAAGGCTGTCCTCACGTTCGCGAGCGGCTCGGCTGGCCTGCCTTTCACCAGCCTCTTCGGCTCTGAGCCGCGCTTCCTCTGCCTCTGTCTTCGCTGCTCGCAAATTGCGGATCTCCTGACGTGCCTCGTCGCGTTCCTTCTCGGCTGTAGTGCGGGCTTCCATTGTTCGCCGAAGAGTATCTTGCTGGGCGTAGAGCTCTTTCTCTATTGTGATCTTCGATTGGTTCAGGTGTTCATACTCTTCCTGCAGGCTCTGGTATTTGTGCTCGCCCAAAAGCTGGACATCGTCGCGGGACTGCCGCTCCCTACTCAGCTCCGTTTGAGCCGTGTACAGGTCTTCTTTGAGATCTTTGATCTGGGCCTCCAGCACTTGGCGATTCTGGTCAGCTTGGGCGTCTTCAGACAACCGTGCCTGGAGAAGGTTGTTGGCATCTTCAGCTTCTCGTTGCAGCTGAGCTTGCTTAGACTTCATGACCTCTAGGTCGGCCTGGGACTGGTGCAGCTTGTCAAAAGCTTTCTCCCGCTCAGCACTCAATGCCTTTTTCTGATTTTCCAGGCTTTGACGCTCTGAGAGGTAGCGCTTATTTTCGTCGCGAAGCACGGAGAGCTCACTTTCCTTCTGCCGTACAAGGTCCTCGTAGTCGGTCGAGGTTTTAGAAAGTTGCGCAAGTTGGTCGTGAACTTCCTTGTTCTCGAGCCGCAGACGCGATTCACGGCTTTTTATCGACTCCAGTTCCTTTTGTGTGGTGTGGAGTTTCACCTCAGCATCCTGGTCGATCTTCAAGAGCTTACTCTCAAGGTCACGAGCTTTGCGATCCTTCAAGTTTAGCTGACTCTCTAGCATCTTGATTTCTCCCTCCAGCTTCTCTTCTTGCGCACTGCGCTCAGATTGCTTCTGGGAGATCTCAGCAATGGATGCATCCAATTCTGAGACTTTCTTGAGGAGCTCGCCTTTCTCTTCTTCGAGCTTGGCAATCAAGGCAGCAGCTTGGTCAAGTTGGCCTCGGTATTGCTCAACATCCCTTTCCGCACGGTTCTTGGCTTCCATCAAGCCATCCATTTGATCTTCGAGGCGTTCCTGATCGTCAATGGCTCCGGCTAGTTTCTCCTCGAGCTCGACCTCGCGCTCTTGCAGTCGGCGGAAGATTTCCTCCTTGTCCAAGGCCAAGGCACGCTCGCTCTCCAAGGTCTGCTGCACACGCATCATTTCAGCATGGCAATTGCGCCTCTCTTCCTCTAGTTTCTGCCGGTTTTCTGTCTCAAGTCGCATCTTATCGTTCAGTTCCTTGATCATGGCATCGCGCCTCTTGACTTCGCTCGCGCTACGTGTAGCACCCAGTAGCGGTTTCATGTTCTGGATGAGCTGCCACCATGGGTTCTCCACCAGATTGAGGTAAACGTGAAAGTTCCGCTGGATGATTCTCGTAGCTTCAGTGCGGAAAAGGCGTTTCGAAGCCGCTCGGCGAGCATTGAATCCGCGAGCGACCGACTGGAAGCGCGACATTATTTCCGTGATCAAAGCATCTCTCTTCTCCTCAAGCTCAGCCAACACCCCAGCACGGAAAAAGACCTTGCTCAAGCCCACACGGAACATGGCCTTGTCCAGTCCGAGCTTCTCCAGGATGATGGACGCGGCTTGTTGTCCTTCCAGATAACCTCTTGGCATGTTCGAGCAAAGAACCTCGTATCGCGAGCGAAACTCTGCAAATGGCAGGCGGTTGGGAAAGCCGGTTCGAGCGATTCGGATGCCTTCCAGAACACCGTTGCATCGTAATTGGTCGAGTACCAGGACATTGTTAAACTGCTTCGGTCGCTTTTTGTGATTCGGCAAGATACAACGCACAAAGTGTGGATGAGTTGAGTGCAGCTGTGTCATCAAGCTATGCAGCTGCTCCTTGTGACGTTGTGCCACTGTTCGGAACAGGCCCTTCTTGACACGACTTCGCGTGCCGCTCGTGTCATCATCTGCCTCGGCACAATCTGCGAAAAGTGCAGCAACGTGCTTGTCAGAAGACGCGGCCAACAGGCGCGTAATGTTGTCGTTGAGCGGATCCTTGTTCTTCTCCAGCCAGCTGTCGGTGGAGTACTCGACATCAGCAGCATAATGGGTCAAGATGAAACCCTGGCCTAGTCTTGAAGGGCGGTATTTACTTGACTTCTTCTCCCACAAAGAGTTCAACTTTTCGGTAAATGTCTTGTCTGTTGCCTTGGGCATAACAGAGTCTTCGTCAAGACAGGAGAAGATGCCAATGGGATTTGGTAGCTCGATGAGATCGATGGTGGGCTGTAGATCACGGCCGAAGTCGATGAACTGCCACTCAATCTGCTCTCTAGCGTACTCCTCTTGTTCAAGCACAAACATATGGTGATTGAAGAATTGCTGGAGCTTCTCGTTGGTGTAGTTGATGCAGAGTTGCTCAAAGCTATTTTGCTCGAAGATCTCAAAGCCAGCGATATCGAGTACACCAATGAAGTGGGAATCTTCCATTCCCATGCCGCTCTGATCGAACTGCTTGTTAATGCGACCAACAAGATCACCAAAGCTGCGCTCGTATATACCCTTTGACAAGGCATCGAGACCCAGTCGGACCTGCTCTGGTGTCTGGACCTTTTCGACCCATTCCCGCCCGGCTTTGACCCGAGGATGCAGAAGGCCACTCAAAAAGGGTTCAAGAGGCAACCCCAAGAGTTTACACACCTTGGCAGCTTGATCTCGTGCGCCGGATTCCAAGCGCGCTTGGTCAGCTGCTCGACTTTCCTTGACTACGCCGATGTTGCCAAGGTGCAGGACAGCCGCAATAGCGCGCAGAATCGAGTTTTGGTCGTGGTCGGAAAATCCCATGATACCGAAGGCTTCCATCAGTGAGACCCATTCATCGCCATCTGAGACCCCCACGATAGAATCATGGCCGCCTCTTGTGTAGGAAAAGTCCTCGACGGTCAGACCATCTAGCAAGAATTCTTTCTTCATCTGTGGGCTGGCGCCCTTCAGAAGCTGGTAGAAGATGTGGTAGTTGCGCTCTTGGGCATTGATGCGCACAACCCTCGACTTTTCTAGTAGATACCAATCGATAAAGGCGCCCGTGATGGCACCGTTGCGGTTGAACTCGATACGAATGAACTTTCCAAAACGTGATGAGTTGTTGTTCCTCACGGTCTGTGCGTTGCCGAATGCCTCAAGAATGGGATTCGCCCGTAGGATTTGCTGGGAGAGGTTGGACTGTTGCGATCGGCTGCGGGATAGCGATTCAGGGTGCGCGACGGCTGCGAGGTACTGGATGACCTTTTTCGTGTTTTCCGTCTTGCCTGCACCAGATTCTCCGGTGACAAGGATGCTCTGGTTGCGCCCTTCTTCCACTAGGTTGCGAAATGCTTCGTCGGCCATGGCGTAAATGTGAGGCTTCGTGTCTTCCCTGCTTCGCCCCTTGTACATATTGATATAATCGTTTGTATATATCGGAAGCGGGCAGTAAGGGTTAACGGTCACCAAGAAAAGCCCAGAATATGTGTATATCAGGTCGGCCTGATACCTCGAGTACAGGTTGTGCACTACCGACGCCTCGTTCAGATGGGTCAATTCGGCCATATCGTTGGCCTTGTCGAACTTGGCGGGATTGACCTTGTCCACGGCCTCGGCCTCGACGTCGCGTTGCTAAGCCAGTCAGTCAGATCTGCTTTCTCCCCGACAAGCGACACATACAGTTCCGTTGTCACATTGCACACGAATGTGGCCAACGCTCAAATCTTCCACTACCCAACCTTTGACGAAAGCCTTTTCTGGATCTTTAAGCCAGACATAACGTTTGCCCGAAAAGTCGTTCTCGCCCTCGATGCTTTCGACCGCATCATGTCCGCGTTTCACTTCCTCCGCCTTGATGAAGGACGGAGCGAATGTCCCAGAGGAGAGAGACCCATTCTTGGACGCGTGCCGCACATGTCCAATCGAGCTCCCAGCTGCCGTCTTTGCCGGAGGTGCTATTGACTGGGTTGGCGGTGAGGTACTCGATTGACTTCGTGCGTGTGATGGAGATGCAGGCGGCGCGTTCGATGAGAAGAGGCTTGATTTGGGCCTCCCAGGCGGCCCTGCGGTAGGCGATGAGGGCGAGGCCCGAGCGAATGGATTGTTACGTCTCGACATTGAGCCGGGTCCATTGTTGAAGGACATAATGATCTGGGATCATCGATGGAGGCTTCGACATGTATGTAAACAAAAATAATGTGTTTGTAAGATCTGGTTCCTGACCAGGCTCGCCAACGAGCCAGAATATAACGTGGAAAGAAACAAAAACACCGTGAGCTTGCTTGGAGGTCAGTTTGTAGAAGATGACATCAAGCGACGGGACAATTACCATTACCGGGGCCCTGTCGGTGATACAGTGGTGGAAGTCTGGCGGTGTTCCACTACAACAAGTACGTGACGGTCACGGTTGCCAGGGGCTGACGCGGGAGCAAGTAAACAATGCAATCACACGTGACGTATGTGGAAAAGGGCCAAAGGACCCACTCTAGCGCAGGCTCCCAGCAGCCGCTAGTCCTACTTGGCTATCGCGTCCATCCACCGCCCGAATGTGATTGAAATCCATTAATTAACCCTTTTGTCTGTCGCGTTTGTCTTCGACCAGCATTTGTCGCAGACCCGCAACGACGAATACACGCTGCGAGACCGAGCCGAATCCTCTCGACTCGACATCTTCTGCCCTTTAGTTTGCTCCCAACAGCTTGCGCTCCATTGCCTTGATGTGTCGAATCGGACGGCCTATATCAACCCATGACCTTGACTCGACTACGACTTAGCCTTTCCTCGCCAACAGCGTGAAGTGATTGATGCTTGATCGAGGATACGTGCCGGACCACACCTCGAGCTCGGCATCAAACTGGGGATCATGAGTTATCCCAGTCACCCGTATAGCTTTCCGGGAGGCTGCTTGCCACCGCAGCAGAATGCAGGTCTTCCGTTCCCAGTCTACAATGCTGTTTCTCCCCTTCCACCTGCCAACCCCGGTTCTTCTTCATCGTATCCGAGTCAAAACGCTTTCGATACGAATCGCAACATGATTCCTGGGTTAGGGAGGGGATTCCATCCGACCCGCCCTGCAGATCCTACAACAACGGATGCCGCCAAGGCTCCCAATGCAACGACAGACGACGACGATATGGACGAAGGGGAAGTAAGTGAGAGTGACGACATTTATGGATCAGAAGACCAGGCAGGTGAAGTGAACGGAAACGCGCAGACAGCAGATGGGATGGCCACTGCTGCGGACCGTGGTTCGTACTCTCCTCACCTCTCGCCGCGCGAGCTTGAGCAGACTGAACCTCCAATCGACGAGCCAGGTAACTACAACTTTTTACCGCATCCTTGCATCGCTGACACTACGCTCAGTATCGTCCCTCCCGGATAACAAAGCCCCGACAATCCCTGAGCTCCGATCCCGCGTTCGTGCCGCGATCCTCCAGCTTCAAGCCCTGAATGTAGAACCCCATCATTATCTCGACGAAGGCATCGAACCCAAGATGTTGGAAGATCTCTTTCGTGAGGTGGGTCTACCTTTCATGCCGAAGCCTGTCAGCGGCCTCCCGCTCAATTCTCCGCCCGAGGCTGTCGAAAAAACCACGCCCCCAACCGAAACCGTTCCAACGCAGCTACCAGCATCGAAACCCAGCGTTCCCACGGAAAGCGCAGCCGAGTCACGAAAAGACAGGATTGCCCGACTTCTTGCAGCTAAGGGCTCTACCAAATCAGCAAATGTTTCATCAGACGAGACCTCGAAGACGGCGCCCGCCGCACCGTCACCATCGACCGTGTCCGAAACCACGCCCGCTGTAACCACGACACCGTCTCCAGCTGCTCAAGCGCAGGCCGCGAAGTCAGAGCTGTTACGACAGAAGATGGAGGCCTTGAAAAGGCGACGCGAAACGCAGGCCCGTGCGCCAGGTGCAGCAGCAACTGACGAAAATGGGACAACAGCCGTGGCCCCGTCACCCAAGCTTCCGGCGCATGCAGCGGCGACTATATCGGAAAGTCTTCCATCAAGGAATAATCGCGCTGTTTCGACACTGATGCAGCGTCCCCAAGCCGTTGTGCCTTCCGCAAAACGTCCCGTGGCTTCGGATTTCGATAATGAACCTGACGCACCAGCCAAGCGGCTCTTTGGCCAACACCGACCAGCCCAACCATTGCTGATTAATGTGAGCGATGATGACGATGAGGAGGCTATGGATCTGGACTCGCCAGAAATGCGACCAGCCTCTATTGACCGTCCTAGTTCGCCATTCAAGATTCCAGCGCTAAGAAGCTTGCACCAGCCCCCTGGTTCGCATACGGGAAGCCCGGCAGGCACACCACCCGCTACGACGCCTGGTGTGCAAAGCTATCAAGATAAAATGAAGGAGATTGAGGCCATGAAGCGCAGTATTGCTGAACGCGAAGCGCTGCGCAAGGTCAAACAGTCGAGACCTGCGTCTCCTGCTGGTGCTACGATTGGTAGTCCTCAGCGAGCCTCAAGCCTGCCGCACAGCGAGAATGGATCATCGCCCACGACACCGCCAGTGCAACTACAGCAGCGTTCCCAACCATTGCCGAAAGCTTCCAGTTTCAACGAAAATAATCGTTTGCGACAGAGTCGCAGTCAATCAAGGATGGCAAGTGATCGCATCCTTGAGAAAGAAATGAGACTTAAAGCCCTGGAATCGCAGATGAAACGCCTACAAAAGGAGCTTGAACAGGAGAGGGAAGAGGAAGAGCGTTTGCGCAGCGAGCAACCCGATGCATTAGATGCAGAGGGCCAGCCCGACGCTGACCATCGGCCTCAGTCACCGCCTATGTTGTCAACAGAGGCTTCGCAGTCGGAGGAAGTTCCGAGGACTATAACTGAGGCAAAATCAGGGCTTGATCCTGACTCGCAGCAACATTCAGAACCAGCACATGTGCTCGGGGTTTCATCGACCCAACACCATGAATTACGTAACCGACCTCACGCACCGGCGCTTGAAAAGTCTGATTCAAGCCCTAACGCTCAGACTTTCGCTACAGTCAAGGGGTCGACAGGTGAGGCAACCGGGTCGGCACAAGCTGAGAGAGATGCCTCCAGGCCGGACGGTTCCGACCTTCTTCCAGAACAAGAGGGCCAGCCCATGGTGGCATCATCATCAGTCGAATCTTCTTCTGACGAAGATGAGGAGTCCTCGGACGAAAGTGATGAGGAAGAAGTACAAGGAGTTTCGGTCAAATCACCTGTGACAAACCCTATATCATCGGGGGCGCCATTGTCGGTGCCAACATCTCCGAGCGAAGTAGATAAGGTTCCAATTGGTCAGTATCAACCTCTCCTAACATGTGAACAGGTAATCATTTCCGAGAAATCCGCCGATGCTAAAGCGCAGCAACCACCTGCGCAACAAAGGAGCTACATGCCTTACGAGTCGCCATTGAAACAGTTCCGTGCGTATCGTCTACATCCCAGCTTCGCCAAGTCAGTAGCCGGCGGGCTTCGATCTCTAACCTATAGCAACAACATCGATGTCAACAAGGAGCTCTGTCCAGATGACTTGGCAGGGCAAGCATGCCCGCGTGGCGATGCGTGCCAGTTTCAGCACCTGGACTCGATGCAGACTCCCGGTACGTCTTCCGAGCCATGAGGGGATCCGTCGAATCTATTTGTCAGCTAGCAACGGGGTCAGCTGCGGTGTCGCAGAGGATACTGACTGGTCTGCAGACGACCAGATCCTGGTGCAGCTCGGTGATGCAAGACACTTTGAGGGACAAGAGCGGCGAGACTACATCAAAGGGCTATGCGCAGTCCTCGGCGACCTGAAGACTCGTCAGATCAAGGACTTTGACGCCACGGCGCAAAGCATCATCGACTTCCGGGCCAAATTTCGTAAAGATCCGTACAGGATCCTTCCGTTAGGGGACGTTAGTATTTGAGACCGTAGAGGTGAGGTGAGATCAGATCTCACAGAGCTGAAAAGGGCTTCTTCCCATTGCACATTGGGAGAAGCCTGCCTCTGCTCATTGGCGCAATCGCAACTTCTGCGGCTGCATGGTGTAAACGCAAGCACTAGAATTGAGCGAGAAACAAAAGGTGGACGAGAAAGAAGCGATGTTGACATAGTACATCGAATATCCGTGTGCTGGGCCGTCGGCCAGGCTCTGGCTTGTACAACACCATCTAAACGGGCGATGTCACATTGCATTTCCACTGTTCAAGCATAGGTAGCGTTTGGCACAATATGACTTTCTTCTCCTATTTCGATCCTCGTAGCAGATGCGCAATCAAGACTCGACGTGTTTGCCTTAAAATTCCGTGTGCACAGCCGCAAGGCGCCAACTATCATTGCCGGAGTTTTCTATACTTTCCGACCAAAAAGTATAACGTGATTGATAAGCGAATGTCCCAGACAAGCGAATGTCCCACAAATCGATCCTCCCACACTATCATCATTTG